TAAATTTTCTCCCTCTACTCCCGCGGCAAGGCTTTCACCGACATGCTCCGGGAAAGCAAGCTCGGTGAAAGGAGAAAGCACCCTTTGTCTGCCGCAATTTCTCGGATGGGTATTCGTTCGGTATGGCCGTAACTCCACAACGCTTGCCGCTTGTAGTTCTTGTGGCCACCGTCAATTCTACATCCGATATCCGCTCTTTGCCCCTTCGTATATACGGAGTGCTTAGTCTCGGGTTCATCGACAATAAGTCAACCTTAATAAGGTCGGATGGCCTTTGCGCCATATAGGTCTCTAAGCCCAAGTCTAAGGCGAAACAGCTAGATTTCAGAAATCGCACATGGCCTTTTTTCGGTCATCGGCATCTTCGCCATCTCGAAAGCAGCCGTCTGCTTCATATTTGCGCAAAGGCTCATCGTAATGCACCGGCCTAGCCAATATTATCGCGCGGTTTCACCTTCATCATATGCGTCGTCTACTCATAAAAAAAAAACTCGTAAATGAATCTGACCTACAAATCGCTCACTGCAAGACAAGTAGTCGCGTGGGCAGTAATAACCTCCTAATATCAGGACCTACAATATGCATACAAATCTGGAACCTTAGTAAGGTAATTTCGCCAATCAGGTTGACGACAAAAGGTAATCTCGAAAATCGGGATTCGTACGACTGGGGTGTGCCCGTCTGGAGTGCGTGATTACGCTAATGGGCGTCCGCCTCGCCGTTTGCGGGCTTCTGGATTCAGGATAGCCGGGCCACATGGGGGCTAGGTAGTACAGTAAGGATCCCGTAGAATGATACTGGGAGGATCCGAGGATCGAGCCGCTCGTGTCGCTAAAAGATTTTCCCATTTGGCGGCCCACGCTTTAACTCCTTGTCAGTGGTCCAATGGCTTTTATTCGGACATTATGTGGTTCCTCTCCCCCAAGGAGCAATTTCTGGTTTGTTTACGGTCTGCCGAGGTGAGAATAGCTTGGTCTCCCAGGGCTCCCAGGGCTCCTTAAGCCTATCCGCTACGGGGAGACCCTTTCCCAACATGTACCTGACTTCCGATATTTGACAATGCCCGTCGTGTCTCCGAGCAGCCGACAATCGCTCGCGCTCGCGTTGGCGTTGGCGCTGTACGAAGTAGCGGCTTACGCAATAGAAGAAGAATCTAGCCTCGTAAAGCTCGTTTCGTCCACTGCTTTATGCGAGGCGTTACTTACGTCTCCTATTTCTCAACCCCTATTGGAGCCGCGCCTAGTCTAAATACGTACAATATCCATGTACATGCCTTATCATCCATATTGTACGAATCAGATGCTGCAAGAATTTCTTGTGCCACATGGGATTCTACGAAATAACAAACGCCAGAGACGCTATGCGCTGTCGAAGCAAGGGTTTAATGCACGCAAGTTACCATGAAACCCGGCTACAAAAAGCTTAGTTACTCGCTGATGGAACTTGAAACAATTCGATATAACTGTTCTTCTTCATACATACGCGGTCAACATGTTGTCGTTTGCGGAATATTATCATGAATATGCCTCACTCATTTAACCAACCTAGTCGCCATTGGTTTTGGTGAGTCTTTTTTTTATTACTCATGTTATCTGCGAGATTTACACGGAGCATAATCCGTACATCCTGGACCCATTAGAAAAATTGCGACTACAAAGGTTTCCCGGCCAATTACCTAGGTCAAGTCTTTGATAGAGCAACGTCTCGAACTATTTATCGATGCAAGAACTTAGAAGGGTTCTAGTCAGTTCAGCATGAATATATCTAAGACGTGGAGCCCTTAGCTTTGTTGTTAAGGAGATAGCTTCTTGCCACGCTGTCGAGCTAGTACATTTTGAGTGACCGCGTTTTCAACGAACGGGGTACGCGAGAAAAGAACTTTGATCTCGCCGCCGCTACGGTTGACGATTTGCCTTAGCAAAGTCCATGTACATGGAAACACAGTCGAGGCCAACGTACTATGTAACAACCAAGAAAGCTTAATACTATCCCCGACAATTAAAAGCCCCCTTTCAGCCCAGTAGCCCTGAAGGTCATGGCAGATCTAATCGTTCTCGATTTCTCCGCAGCCAAGGTGATTGCTTCTTCCTAGCGTACGCCCGCCCCCAAAACTTTTGGGTATGGCACGTACCGACGCTACCGTCGTACAATATGTACATCCATGCGTAGAACCAAACTTGAAGCAATCGTGGCAGACATCTAACATGATCAAATGTATGTAGGCATACATATGTAAGTATGTACATACAAAAATACATACATATTCTACCTAGCGTCCTGGTAAGCCCAAATATTCGTATCTATCTGTTTAACTGTTATTCGATAGAGCAGACCTCATCAGACAAGTCCTTCTTGGCACGTATATTTGCGCGTCATGCCAAGAGACGACAAAGATGCCACAAGCTACCCCTAAGGCCTTCTCTGGTCGTTAGGAAATGCAATATTTTAAACAAATAAATCAGTTGGACCGGAAGCTTGGCTCTGTTAGTATTCACATCGAGGGTTCGCCATCCCTCTGCATTGCCAATGTCAGCTGTGTAAACTTGGTAGCCAAGATCGAAGCACGACGATCTTCCTCTCTATCGGGGACTGCAGGGCCTTTTTCTATCGTCGACTTTCTTGGCAGGGTCGCTCTATCGCAATTAAAGCAATAAATAGTTGGAAATACGCAGAACACGTACAGAAACGTACAAAGCCAAGCTACGATAATAATAATAAAACGTTTGCGATATTTAGACACCGAGGGAGGAGGTCAGAACCTAAAATAAACATGCCGCGTAAATAGAAGATGAGGAAAATGCAAGAAATTACCAGGAGCCTCACTTCGAGGCGTGCTAGGCAAAAGCTGGGCAAGCTGGTCGAGCTGGTCGATCCCATCAGCCTGTCGCCAGAAGCCAGCATAACCGCGCCAGAAGCCAAGACCCGTTCAACCCAAAAATGTCTCAAGAGCCGGAGACAGGTAAACGAAGAAGGGCGGCCCATCCGATTCGCCGTTGACCAATTTTAATTGGTAGGGGAATACATTATGGGCCGTCTCGGGCTCGGCAGGGGGTCACAATTCGGTTCTTTACCCAGAATTGGCCCGTGTCTTTTTAGACCGCGTGTATTCATCCCTCGTTTCCTCCACCACCACCCACCCACCCCCAAACTCCAGAACCATGGGGTTTCGTTATGGGTATGGGTATGGGAACTTTGCACGCACTTTGCCCATGCACGGCTCGGTGTAACAACGACCACCGCCACGATTGCGCGTTGCGCACCTACCTACATAGCGGTTCTTCGTCAGCGGATAAGGCGCGGTGGGACAGTTTTGCGACTGAAGCGAAGTGGGCCCCGCCGTAACGACGGCGGTGATGACGATGCGCGGTTGCGGTTGCGGTAAGTTTTGGTGCTTGACCGCTCATGCCTCCTTATGACGTATGTGCCTGGCGTATAAGCCGAAATACAACCTTTGCACTACTACACACCTCCTTTACTAAACGCGGGAAAGTTCTCGCGCGGCGGTATAGTTAACCTAGAAGGTTTGACAATGTCACTTTGTTTTTGTTTTTTTTTTGCCCTACGACGTATAGATGCAACGCGATGGTACCCGATGATGATGATGATGGGTTGGTAGGGAGGTAAGCAATAACGACTCGCATATTCGATACCCAAAGCGACGTCACCAATGCACCGGCCCGTTTCCCCCCACCGAAGGCTTCTATGCGGTGCTTTGGTATGCATGCAACAGCGTGAGCCCAAATGTAGAAGAGTCCGGTATAATAATGGACCGTGGTGTAACTACATGAGACCGGTCCGTGTCACTTGAACTGTTTAATGTTTGTTCGTGGACGTCGTAATTCTGTTAGCTAGTATCAGATAATACGTCCAAGCGTCTGAATGTCTGGTCAGAAGTATCAATACACTCAACGTTCTTAATGTATAACTTCGAGCACTGTGGTGTTGATGATGAATACTGCAAGGCGTTTCTGAAAGGGAGACACGGGCTTGGACTAGGATAATAGTTCTCGACCGCAGTCAATGAACGGCCCCTTTTGGCGTATACTGAGACACGACGCTTGATAAGTGGAAGTGATTCGTACATTCTTCTAGCGATACCAAGACTACATGTTCCTCTCGTCCAGCCAATAGCCGTGAAACCACCGAATTGGCAGATCGAGGTAAGGAATGGATTTGGGGTTGAGATCGGTGCTTGGGTCTCTTTTTCACTTCATTCCAAGATCGCCCATTTTCATCCTTGGCATATGGTGATCACGAGTTGTCTGCTACTGGCATATTGATATTGATATATGTAGTGATCGAAACCTTCTACGCTAGCTACCTAACCTATCAAGATATTATATTAGATCATATTAGCAATAAACATTTAGTGGTTGAAGGAAACCCAGTATTGGCTTGCAGAAAACTCGCTGCCTCGGGGTGAGAATAATAATAGAAAAATCATACCGACTAATGTTCAGGTAGTAGGTTAACTATAGTATTTAGCCTAGTTATCTCTTCTACTAAATCGAATCAACAAGCTCAAACATCACAGGGTATATATAATCCTCACATTCTCCCGTAGTATTTTAAACCGGATATTCATACAGTCGAGAATCTAGTATCTCTCCCAATCTACTAATAAGATACAACCATACCAACGCTACGACAGATATCATAAGCGTAGCTGTGAGTCCCGGGTTACGAAACAGCCTTACAGCAAGGTATACTGCTGTGGCTCCTAGTTTACATCTGGTAAATTCAGTACGGAAATGACACCGGTGCTTTACTATACCCATACCACTACGCTCGGTTTAACTAGATGTAAGGCCTCGGATATGTCTACTCACTCAGATACCTGGGAACCAAATCTCCAGTAGATACCTAATATAGGGTTGGCTACCGTACACAAGCTTAAACATACAAGTGTGACTGGATCTACAAGGTAATCTGACTTCACTTGTTGCATCACCCGAAAGTTGCCCTCGATAACCCCTTATCTTTTAAACCATTTCTTACAGGTTTATTTAAACTCGAGTGCTATTTAATAGAGACTTAATTTTTATTTACAATAGTTTAAAGAAGATGATATAGGCATTACATGGTACTCTGTTCCTTCAGTCCAGCTTCCATCATCTGCAATGCCTCGTCGCGGTGTTTCTCCATATCGATGTCGATGATGAAGTCCCACCTTGACATAAATGACCCGAATTTCTTCGGGTCCAATCCAATTTCTTCACTCCTCCCCATTATCATATCACCCGTGACCCGACTGGACTCGACGATCTGTTGCGTACGGGGGCGGCGAACCCGGTCATATACCTTCAAGGCCGTAAGGGCCTCGGTGGGCGTCTTCGCACGCCCGAACAGGGTAGAAAGGATGAGGCTGTCTTCGATAGACATGCCACCGCCGGATCCTTGCCATGGTGTTGTTGAATGGGCAGCATCGCCAGTGATGCACATTGGGCCCGAAACATAAGTCGGTGCTTTTGGGTGCTCCCAGAGGTATAAGGCTTTGTGTTCAGGTTGGTTGCAAAGCAGCTGCAGGTTTGTTAAAATCTTCATACTACTAAATACGTATTGCCTTAATGAACCCAAGGGTTGGTTATCTTACCTCATCCACGGCCTTGTTAAGGGGAGATGGGTAATCTTGGAATAACTGCTTGATCTCGTCGACGCTTACAATGCGCTGCCAGCGGTCCAACGATTCGGACTTATTTTCCGAGTCATTAGACGCGATAGCAAATTGCACCAACTCGCCGTCACTTAGAATGTTGTGCATTAGAAAAGCGTTTTGACCGATCCAACCATATTCGCGGGCATTCTCGATGTCTACGAGCTCTTTACCCAAAATCTCCTGAGCCTTGTCGAACGGTTGAAGAGTCATAAGGAACCAGCCACCGCTGTTACGAGGAACTGCCGCGACATCGTTCTCTCCCAAGATGAGTTTTCGAACAGCGCTATGGATGCCATCGGCGCCAACGAGGATGTCGCACTCATGTGTAGTTCCGTCGGTGAAATGAAGCGTAAGTGAACCGTTCTGGTCGACTTTCTCGAGCCTTTTTGAAGCATGCATTTGATTCTGCGGAATACCAGCGAGCAGTTCCTTTAGAAAGGCTGCTCGGTGGACGATGCTCGTAAGACGTTTTCCTTGATCGGTTTCGTTAGTCTCATCGGCAATGCTCCCTGCTCCTTCGCCTCGAGCCAGCATCAACCGAACGCCCCGCATCGGTACAGCGCCGGCTCGCTCGAGACATTGCGCGGCTGAAGGACCGATAAGCTGGAGGGCAGCTTGCGCGTTCCGGGCGAGCCCGAAAGCCATACCGGCTTCTTTGAATTCACTGGCAGACTCGAAGATATGTACGTCCAAATGAGAGAACTTGACGAGGGCGTGGAGTAAGGAAGCACCTGCCACGCCGCCACCAACGATGGCAATTCTAATGGAAGAATTCATGATTATAAAACTGCCGTCCTGTTCAATCTAGTTGCTGTGTTAATTCTAGCGTTTGCGCTCGTATACACGAAAGGTGCTTATAATAACTCCTAGATAGGCACTAATCGATATACGTATGGCGGGACTTCCTAGAAGCAGAGAAGCCCCCGTGTCATTGGCCAGGGAGGTAGCCGATGTAACTCCCTCCTTTGTGTAAATATAGAATTGATAGATCATCCCTTGATTCAAATTGCATATGAGAGGTGGAAAAGTATCGGTAATAAGAATAGGTTAGAGGCAATATCGTGGGGGCGGTTGGTCGGACGGATAACTACAGAAGGATCTGTGTAACTCAAGGGAATATAGTCGAGTTATATGTTTCTAGATGAAAGCTTCCTACAAGTTTTCGTTACACCGTGAAGTAGAGTGCTTTTTCCCTTAGGCCTTCGATATTTTCAAAGCACGTCCAAGGGACAGTCCTTCTAATTCGTGGTTTTTATACCCTTAGATCTAGATATCTCCAAGTTTTTATTTCACAATAATTACCACCAACCAATATACCGAACGACATCATGTTACGAATCGTACACACCTACAACTAGAAGTAGAACTTGATACGGGTTCTAGTAGCTACGTGGCTAGATAGCTAAAGTACGAAGTTGAAAACAACTATTCGACTTATCCAGTAGATAGACCGAATAGCCGTTCAGGAAGAGTTATTCCAATTATCCAACTATAACTTAAGGTAAGAATTATATACAAGTCAGGATGGTTTCTTGCGTATCCAGTCATTTACTCTTCAGCTATTAAGCCAAGCTTATAAGTGATTGTTGGGGATCACCTTATAAGAGTACCCTGAAATTATCTTTGGTGAACCAGCTACTCATCCACCATTTTATTGTCACCTCAAAACCAAGACCCCTCTAGTATATATTTTCCCTATTAAGTGAAGACTAACAGGAGTAATAGAGAGTAGGGTTAGTGTCTGCCGTGGAGAGCTGGGTACTGAGAATGTAGAAAAAAATATCTAGAAGGAAATCTAGGCTTTATACATATATGTTCAATCTCGGCGTGGCCAAGCTACGTATCCCATGTTTTAAATTATGTACGATATTATTATGTGAAATGTGAAAATACAAACGGTATGAATCAGACACTACAAATTTATCTAAAACGTGGATTACATGGTATACGTAATCATATTTTTATCTGATGCTATGTTACGCGAAGAGATAATCGTGTTGCTGGTTGAGTTTAGCGACTTATAGCCACCTACACTGCTTTAACTACGGTATACAGTAATTTACGGATGCTAGACATCGCCTATCTATCTGTCGAAGCACAAAAGCCGCTAAAGGTCCACGAACAAAGAATATTAGGAGGTAATGAGGAGCCCCTTGGCAACGCACCATTTGCAAACCACTAGGATTCCAAGTTGAAACTGCTAGGATTCTAGATGAGGCATCTAGAACAAAGAACACTGTTAGTATATATAGCCGTAGGCTCCCGTAGCTAGCTTAGAGTTTCTCGCGGAATAACGAAGGTGTTTCCATGCTTCTTGGTCCACCTCGTGACAGAAATTACACACCTAGGCGATAGGCGCGTAGTAGACGATTTTACGATCGGGACGATACTCGTTCTTGGGATTAAGTAACTTCTTCTAACACCACTCCTCGTGTCCGTATATTAGCTCCTTCATCTCAGTTCCAAAAGCATAGTTGGCATATATGTGCATCTCCTTTCAGCCGGTAGCTCTGTGGAGGATCTGACGGAGATCTTCACCTAGTTTTACTGCCTTTTTCTTGAGCTCCTCTCCATCTAGCGAGTAAACGATGAGCGGGGCGGATAGTAGGTTATCACCCCCGGTAGGAAACGGCTGTTGATTCTCGAGGAAGAGGGAGCCGTTAAGCGCGAGTGTCTCGTGGGTGGTTAAAGAGAATAAGTCGTATACTTGCTGCTGGGCCTGGATGTCGTAAGTTTCGACGTCGATGGGAAAACGGGTGTTAACGAGACTAACTTTTTGACATGGTGGATCCTTTCGGTTGTGTGCTAGTTTTTAGAAGATGGTTCTTGATAGCTCCTCGATTCTATCGCCCGTAAAAGTAAAGCATACCTCATATGCCCAATCGGGGCTTTCGACATCGTAGATTTTTTGTCAGATATTGTACCCTTGATGAACGTCATACATAGAGGGAATGTCAGGATAACTAGATATAATTGAACCATCGTGGCCTGCCTTTTATCCTCTTACGAGAGCGCTGCGCGCCTCTTATATACTCAATCCTAGTAGACCTACCCCTGAATCTACCCCTAACCCGCTTATACCCTGACAAATACACTCTGGTCTTTGACTTCGAGTCCATACTTAGGTATACAGCACACCGGTTAATTCCGAGAAAGCGTCTTCCTCGGCCTGGGGGTAGGACCTAGAAGAGCAGTAATAAATTGAAAAGTAATTGATTTGGTTCCGTGAAGGAGTATGTTGGATGAGTATGTGATGCTCTTCCTACTAGGTCTAGGAAATGTATAGGAAGAGATATATAAACTTCTGGGCCATCTCCATGCTGTAGGCGCAAGACTGGCGAGACTCTGATTGTCATATGTAGTACATGGTTACTGAATTAAATATGAGGCTATCTTGTTAGTCTTGAAGCTGTCTCCTTCCCCTATCCTAGCCCCGAGATTTTATTAACCAATAGTATACCCCAAGACTTATATATTCGCAGCAACCCTGTTGGGATCCACCTAAGTATATCTATGTCTCTTATAACATTAATGAACAATATCACGGCTAGTATACTATAGCTAGGTAGATAATTACAGGGGTTGATGGTATGTAACCGCCCACTGCCAATCACGGAAATATCACATGTCAACCCATTACATCCTAACACCGTAAATCACATGTTACATTGGCATTCACATCACAAAACATAGAGATAACATGTGCAAATATACCGACCCCAAACCACAACACTCTGTATTGTGATGATCGAGCCTCTAGTATAGATCGTAACAAAAACTGGGTAGATGCCGCCGTGATATTACTCAACCAGGCACAAATGTTAATCCGGGCAATACCGGCCGAACGTAAAAAAGTACTCTATACGTAACAAAACCGCAAAACCCCAGAAGGGTACCTCCGGGCCCCGTGTCTTATTCTATCGTCATACGAGGTATCCCATCCGTGTAAAACGCCGCCTAATGCTTAGCAGTGACCTTATCGCCGGTCAGCTTTTCAACGTAACTCTTGGCCCTGTTTCACGGTTCTGGTTAGCAACGTAGTTCTTGTTCTTGTTCTTGTTCTTGTTTGCGCCGGGAAAAAAACTTACATATCACCCATAGCCACCATGCAAACCGTCTGCCAAACGCCTAACCCAATACGCGGCATCACGCCGCGGTACAAGCCCTTGATACCGTTGGACTCGTAGATGTATTTGAAAGTGTTTCCGACCGTCATCTTCTTGGGACGGTTGGGATCCTCCTTCTTGCTCTGCATTTCCACGCGGATGACCTCGATCGGCTGGTTCCAGGCCGAGAGACCACCACCTAGGGCAGAAGCGGTAATCTTCTCAAGTGCGCTAAGCTTCTCGCCGTTCTCCTTCTTGGTGACGCGGCGGATGCCCTGTTCGGCCAGACGCGACAGACCGAAGCGCGAACCCCAATTGGTCATCTGGCGGATCGCCACAGCGTTGACGCCGCGGTTGATACCCCGGATACCCTCCTTGCGGTAAATTCCCATGAAAGTCTGGAACGTGCTTGGCGGCTTGACGCCCGACGCCGCCAGCTTGTGCTGCGTGATCTCGACCGTCTTCATGCAGGTGCAGAAACCCATGGTGGCATATGCCTGTGCGACACCACCCGTCACACCACCGATGATGCCACTGCCAAAGTCCGAAGCGCCTGCGACTCGGGCATAGTATTCAGCTTCGGAAGCGACGAAGAGCAACACGGCGCCCTTGGTCGAGGCTTCGATCCAGGCCCAGGGAATGAGACCCTGGTAGACTGCGACGAGGAGACTACATGTTAGCGGGGTGTTTTATTCGGATGGGGATTTCAATGGCAAAATAATGGAGCTGATGACTACTTACATCCAAAGACACCGCCACGGTTCCAGATGGAGCGCAGAGCAGAAGCGAAGGAATCGCCTCTGTTCGCAGCGAGATGAGTCTTGCAGACCTCCAGGGGCTGGCCGAGCGTAGTGACCTCGAACAAATTGAGGCCGGCGCCGAGCAGCAAGTTGGAGAACTTGATAGGTTTCTTCTCCAGCTTATTCTCCGTCAGAGGGGGGACGGCCCCGGAGGCGGCAACGGTGGCGGTGGACATTTCCAGATAGGATTCGTTTGACGGAAAGGGGCCTGACCAAGGCAATCGGGTGCTTCTTCGCAAGTAGAGTAAAAGGGAGGGGAGGACGGCGGATTAACCTTCGAAGAGGATGTCGATTGACGATGAGGGATAAAAAAAGAAGATGGATGGTAAAGTTGATTTTGTGAGACGGGGAGAGACGGGGAAGTCAAAACGCAAAGGCAATAAGGGATCGGAGTCGGGGAGTTTCCCAGCAGAACGGGCGTATGATTGGTGTCGGTGAACGGATTACGATTGCCGTAAGCCTGCAACGTACAACGGAGGGAGCTACGAGGGGGCGGTGGTCAGCAAGCCAGTTAGGTAGTTAGGTCAACAAGGTCAAGAAGCCTCGGCCGCATGTGGTAAATGATAGGTACCACTAGTATATTCTAGCGCCTGTATTTAGCCAATGGAATAGGAGTTAATACCTACTAGCGTTACCTACGTAACCACCTGTAGATTACAAGATTCAATTGCTTTATTACTGGACGACTCGAAATACCTATCATATGGTCAATGGTAGATTTATCTTGATTTCTGATTCCTTTTTAATTTTTAATAACTGGAATGAGATAGATATTCCGTATATTTTCAGCCTGACTTCAGCTGATAGGATTATTCTTTCCAAGCCACTATTACCAAGCCGTATAATAAGTATAGCAAGTACATCAGCACTATCTCCGGGCCTCAGATCCCTCGGGAACTTTGTTGAACGCTCTCTCAACAATTGCCAAGATCCCAGCGATACGCCGCCCGATAATATCGCGGCTTCCCCATCAACCAACCATGTTTGCTAGCTTAGTTCTACCTCAACAAGCTGCCCGGATTTCCCCCCAAATCTCCCTGATTTATTAATATTCTATTAATATCGGTATCGTTGGACCATCGGCTTCGTACATATACCTATGCAAGCGCCACCAAATTTA